GATGATGTTAAAGGAGGTGAAGGTGATGGTTCTGATGATAACAGTGATGATGATAAAGGAGGTGAAGGTGATGGTTCTGATGATAACAGTGATGACGATAAAGGAGGTGAAGGTGATGGTCCTGATGATAACAGTGATGATGATAAAGGTGGTGATGACGCTGGTGATGCTGGTGATGATGAAAAAGATGATGATGATAATGTTGCTGCTGGTGACAAGGTGATGCTGCCATTGCTGCTGCTAGTGATAATGGCGATGTTAGTTGGCAGTACGTCAGCAAATCCTCATAGAAGCCAAGGCTGCTCTTCTGAAGGATTAGTGAATATGCAGCCCAGAACTCTGCTTGTTGAGTGGTGAACATATAAAAAGAAATACCTTCCTGCTCTAAAGGTGGGAATGCACAGATAATTATTTTTACAATAAACATCTAAAGATGAAGTGATAGCAAAAGTGTTGGTGGACCGATACTGTGAATTATAGAATAAACACAGCAGAATCAGTGAACTAGAGATAAATGGAAGTAAAGCAAGAGAACTTGTACTCATAATGGTTAAGCAAGAACAAGCAGACTAATATTTAACTCCTTGCTTATTATTCATCAGACATTTCCCCAGGTTCTTAAAATTTTTGACTCTTACGATACCCTATGAAGGATCATGAGACAAATTTTATGATCCAGTATTATTTTATGTCTAAAGGAGCAGGGCCCAGAAAGGGGTAAGTAACTTGTCTAACGTCATAGCTGGTAAGAGGTGGGGTGCTGACCAATAGCTGGCATTATCCAAAAGGTCTTCCCTGGAACAACTTTTTTACTGAATAATTTTGAGAAGCAATAGGTCAAAGTTTACCCAGTTTCTAATCTGCAGGTTTTCTCAGTGCCTTAAACACACTGAATTGCTTTGTAAATCTCTGAGACCTGGTAACATTTCACAAACACCTCTGACCACCGAACGCTCTTTCAGGGAGGCTATTATGGAACTAGAAACCCTGATGTCATAGTGGTTAAGTGCTATGGCTGCTAACCAAAAGGTCGGCAGTTCGAATCCACCAGGCATTCCTGGGAAACTCTGTGGGGCAGTTCTACTCTGTTCTATAAGGTGTCTATGGGTTGGAATCGACTCGACAGCAATGGGGGGATTATGGATCTACCTCTTGGTCAAGAGGCCAAGAGGCAGTCATTCGAACAGAACAAGGGGATACCGCATGGTTTAAAATCAGGAAAGGTGTGTGTCAGGGTTGTATCCTTTCACCATACTTATTCAATGTGTGTGCTGAACAAATAATCTGAGAAGCTGGACTATATGAAGAAGAATTCAGCATCAAGATTAAGGAAGACTCATTAACAACCTGCAATATACAGATGACACTACTTTGCTTGCTGAAGGCAAAGACGACTTGAAGCACTTACAGATGAAGATCAAAGACTATAGCCTTCAGTATGAATTACACTTCAACATAAAGAATATAAAAATCCTCACAACTGGACCAATAAGCAATATCTTGATAAATGGAGAAAGATTTGAAGTTGTCAAGGATTTCATTTTGCTTGGATCCACAATCAACGTTCATGGAAGCAGCAATCAAGAAATCAAACGATGAATTGCGTTGGGCAAATCTGCTGTAAAAGACCTCTTTAAAGTGTTGAAAAGCAAAGATGTCACTTTGAGGATTAAGGTGGGCCTGCAGCAAGCCGTGGCATTTTCAATTGCCTCATATGCATGCGAAAGCTGGACAATGAATAAGGAAGACAAAAGAAGAAGTGATGCCTTTGAATTATGATGTTGGCAAAGCATATTGAATATACCATGGACTCCAAAAGAACGAACAAATCTGTCTTGGAAGAAATATAACCAGAATGCTCCTTCGTCTCCCGCACTTTGGACATGTTATCAGGAGGGACCAGTCCCTGGAGAAGGACATCATCCTTGCTAAAGCAGAGGGTCAGCGAAAAAGAGAAAGATCTTCAAGGAGATGGGTTGACACAGTGGCTGCAACAATGGGCTCAAGCATAGCAATAATGGTGATGATGGTGCAGGACCGGGCAGTTTTTACTTCCGTTGTACATAGGAGTGCTATGAGTCGGAATTGACTTGACAGCATCTAACAACACTATGGGACTGGAGTCCCTGGGTTTGTAAATGGTTAACACGTTTGGCTGCTAACCAAAATGGAGATTAGAGTCCAACCAGAGGCACCTAGGAAGAAAGATCTGATGATCTACTTCCAACAAAGTCAGCCATCGAAAACCCAATGGATCACAGTTCTACTCTGACACACAAGGGGTTGCCATGAGTCAGAATCAACTTAATGGTAACAGGATTTTTGTTTGTTTGTTTTATGAGACTGTCATTTCCTGGAACATAGAAAATGCCATTGTACACACGGTGTCTTATGAAGGAGCTATAGGTAGGAACGTGGATACTGTACATTTCAAATCACTTATTTGTTTTTCCCTCATTTGATTCTCATATTACCTTGTGAGGTTGGTAGGACAGGAAATCTAATCACACAGCTAGTTCATGGTGGCTCACGGATTAGAACACTGGGCCACTAACCCAAAATTTAATGCTCAGCACCACAGTTAAATGCCTGATCCAGAAGAGAAAAGCAAACAGACTTAGAATTTATAATTTCTAACCTTTTTGGGTCCGTGGGCTCTTTGGTGAATCTGACAAAAGAGGCAAATTCTTGCTCCAGAAAAAGTGCTCTAGCCCTTATGTGTAAAATATGTGTACCATTTCAGGAGACTCATGAGCCCCAGGTTAAGCGTGAGACCCACAGACTAGAGTGAGGCCTCTGCCACAAAGGAAGGGCCAATATTACTTTGGTTGTCTGAGGACGGACCCTACTTACCACCCTGAAGCCACTCTGGTCACCATCCCACAAAGAGATGGCCTTTAATCCGGTAACTTGCCCAACGTGACTTTACCTTTTAGCATTTTTGTCTGAGGCATCATGTACTGACAGCGGGGGAATGGTGTTCTCATCTAAGCGAAACCGTAAGCCTCGGACCATGAGCGGGGTGAGCCATGACAAAGTGAGGTAGGAGAACAGGCAGGCATCATCCAGGGGCTGAGTGGCAGGAACCCTAGTGGGCAGATAATAGGCAATGCAGTCACCCTTATGACATAGGCTCTGAGACGGAAAGTTAGATGAAGGTCAAGACTTAGAACAGACGAATTACAACTCTATGAAAATCACAGTGTGGTCATCCAGGTGTACACACAAATGGTTTGCCATGACTCTATCCTTTGTAATAGTTAAAAACCAGAAATGACAAGAACATCCATAATGAAGGAGGAGAGGCGAAACTATGGGACATCCGTACTATGGAATGTAATGCAGACATTTAAAAAAAATAAGGTTGATCCATATATAAACCCACAGTGACCCTATAGGACAAAGTACAACTGCCCCGTAGGGTTTCCAAGGAGCGGCTGGTCGATTCAAACTGCCAACCTTTTGGTTAGCAGCCCCAGAGCTCCAAGCATATTAAGCAAGTGAAAAAAGGCCCCGTGTAGGTCAAGAAATTCAGTGTATTTTTACCTATACTTTAAAAAAGAAGAAAGGAGGTAAGGCAGATAAAACATTACATATGTACATTTATATGAAATTCTTAATAACGGTTGACTTTGAAGAAAGGATTGGAATTGACAAAGGAATAGCAAAAGGAGCTTTCTATTGCTTTAATATTTGTATGTTTTGCTTATACAACTTTTACAAAAACAATAAAAATGAAATAAAAAGCAAATAAAAATGATGTGAGCATAAGATCAATCTGGGGATGATTCATAAATACAGGAAAAATGATTGGACTAAGGCTGAGATTATATTTATTTTTTCCCCTTGTTTTTCAAAATTGCCTTTAATGCTATGTATTTCAATACGAAGAAAAATCAGTTAAAAAAATATTTATGGAGAAAGATGGGATGACAAAAATGCCAAACTCATGGGATTTTTTTCTTAGCTTTGGTCTCTTTTCTCCATTCTCGGGGCCCTTCAGATGAGGGCCGTGCACCTAGGCAAGGCTGGCCACACCTGTGCCAGAGATGGCAGAGAGAACAAGAACCAAAGGGTGAGAGATGGTATCAGATATGTGGGATCCGTGTGTGCTCACCTAAGACAGAACGAGAACCTGGGAGCTAGTTTCAATATTCCAAAGGCCCAACAGAAACACGTTTATCTAAGATGGCATTGCCCGTGTGAACTAAAGCACCGAATTTCTTTGTTCTTGGTGAAGATCACATCAATGCAGCGTGCTAACAACATAGCTATTATTGATCAGATGCTCAGATTTTAAAAATGGGTGGAAAATGCAGTTCGTTGATAGGTAAAATCTCAGAAAACATAGTGGAGAAGAGAAGGAGTTGTAAGTACAAAGTGGATTCTTGGCAATGAAATGCAGAGGAATCAAACCCCATGGGTGTTAAGGCCCCATAATTAATTAATTAATTAATGTTTGCATGCCTAGGGAAGCATGATTTTGTGGAGGTCCCTCGTGATAGTTAATTTTATGTGTCAGCTTGACTAGGCTGTGATTCCCAGCGGTTTGGCCAAATACTAGACTAGTTGCTGTTCCGTAATGTCATGTCATGTCATGTATCATCTTCCATACTGTCATCTAATCAGTCAGTTGGAACGGGGGTTTCCTTAGGGTATGGTCTGCCTTGAGACTATAAATAGATATTTTGACAGAATTCTTTCTCCTCTTTCTCTTTCTACTGACTCTGCACCCTTCCCAACACCTGCAGAAGTCTCCAGTCTGCCACCTGACCTACAGATTTTAGACTTTCCAGCTCCCCACAATCCCACGAGCCAGCAGAAGTCTCCAGCCTGTCGCCAGCCCTCACAGCTGAGTGAGCCAATCCTTTGAACTAAATCTCTCTGTGTCTCTGTCTCTCTCTGTCTGTATATATATATATGTATGTGTGTGTAAGTATATATATATATATATATATTTGTTGTTGTTGTTAGGTGCTGTCGAGTCGCTTCCAACACAAAAAGACCATACATACAAGAGAACGTATATATATGTAAAACAAAAAAACAAACCCATTGCCATCGAGTTGATTCCGACTCATAGCAACCCTATAGGACAGAGTAGAACTGCCCCATAGAGTTTCCAAGGAGTGTCTGGTGGATTTGAACTGCTGATCTTGTGGTGAGCAGCCAAACTCTTAACCACTCTCTCTCTCTGTCTCTCTATGTATATATATATATAAAACCAAAAACAAACCAAACCCATTGCCATAGAGTCGATTCATAGCAATATATATATACATATAATTGTTTTGTTTCTCTAGAGAACCCTGGTAAGAAAGCCACTCCTGGAAGCAAGCCTGGATAAGTTTGGAAAACAAGTTGGAGATAGTTTACTGGAAAAGATAAACTGAGTTTCTTTAACTCTTAAATTTAAAGCCACGCGGTCCATTGTCCCTCAGAACCCATACTTCTTCATAGTACCTTCCTAACACAGATTGCAATCCCGTTATCTATGAGTTTACTTGCTGATTGTCTTTCTCCCCTTGGAAGGTCCATGGTGGCAGGGATTCTGTGTATTTTGCTCAATGTTATCCCCCACCCTACAATCTAGCCCAGTGCCTGGCACACCTAGGTGCTCAATGACTCTTGTTGGGTGACTGACAGTGTTGATGATGCCCCTGATGGGCCCCAGGTGGATCTGGAGGTACACAGTGGGTGATGTGAGTGTGCAGGGACATGGTTATGGACCCTTCGGAAGGGGGTCTCGGCGTGAGGGTCTGAGGATCATGCCCTAGTGGGTATTTCCCCTCCGCCCCTCGGGACTCACTTTGGCTTGAGGTGGATGGGAGTCATGGTTCTCCAGGTGGCATCGTACTTCCCCCTAGGGAGGACATCCTCCTTCCCCAGCATCTCATGTTTCCTCTCCTGCTGGCTCCAGGGGCCGTCCTTGACAGTATATGTTTTCTTGGGAAAGAAAAACCAAAAGGGCATCATTACCATTTTCAGGTCTCATAAATCTGAAAATGCGGGAGTTTAGACCAGCTGTCCAAGGGGAGATAGATCTTTCCACATGCAGTTGCCCAATGAGAGGCTGCCAGGCAGGGAATGAGCACCGGGCAAAGAGTGAGGACCACTGGGCCCAGCCCTAGCCCTGTCCTACCCTTGCTGGGCAACACTGGTAAGGCCACTCCAACCCTCTGGGTTTTTATCTGGCCATACACAATTTTAGACAAAGATATAGGTTGTTATGGGGCCCTGGTGGCACAGTGGTTAAGAGTTTGGCTGCTAACCAAAAGGTCGGCAGTTTGAATCCACCAGCTGCTCCTTGGAAACCCTAGGGGCAGTTCTCCTCTGTGCTCTAGGATCGCTATGAGTCAGAATTGACTCAACGGCAACAGGTGTTTAGCTATAGGGTATTACAGTTAGTTACCTCCAGAATATAAGACCAAGTCACCCTGTAAGGGCAAACCTACTGAAAAAACAGTAAATCCCCAAATATTACGTTAGCTTTACGATAAGGTTAGAAACCAGTAAAAAGAGATACACAATTTTTAGTCTTAATATAGAATAAATAGTACTATTTTAAAAGCACAGCAAGAGAATGATGGAAGAAGATTCAGGAAAGTGGTTACTTCAGGTAGGGAGAGGTGGAGAATGAGATGGGGAAAGATCAATAGCTGAATGTCACTGTCAAAGTCCTAGCTGGTGTGTTGGTGATGAGTTTAGTAGTGCTTGTTGTATTATTATAAGTAAATAAATACATAGATGGATAGATGAATGGATGGTTGGATGGACAGATAGGTAGATGGGCAGATGGATGGAGAGTTGGATGGATAGATGAGTAGATGGATGAATAGATGAATGGATGAATGGATGAATGGATGGATGGATGGATGGATGGATGGATGGGTAGAAAAGTAAAAGGCCATGCCTGAACCATGAAGGTGTGATTAATCTAAAGGTGGGTACCTGAGTTCCACTGCAAAAAAAAAAAAAACAAGGTTTAATTCTTTGACCTAATTCACGACCCTTGAGAAGAGAATATCCTGTGAACTCAGTTTCCTGGAGTTTTGATGCCAAGAAAATCTACTTACGTAACTAAGTCCTGAAACCATGTCATCGCCTATGTCCATGCCGAGATCCACCAGGCCACCAGAGTAGTCAGGGACCCAATATGTTCCCCTTCTGGTCATTTTTAGTTATTTTGCCACTTCTTTGTTTCCCAGAGTCAGAGATCCTGAAAAGGCAGCAGGTAGGAGCAGCTTAGGTTCAGCCCTGAGCAGCCAGAGGACATCACTCTGCAGGGAGCGTTTATTGGGCACACGGAGGGTTGGGCTAGTGTCACAGCACCACTGTCCCCTCTGTCTGGAATGTACTTGGATCCCTCTTTTTTTAACTTCTACTTAGGATTCAGCCCAGGGTCACTTACGGAGACCTTCTCTAATCACCCTGCCCACAGGCCTGCTCATAGAATCACACTCCTTGCCTTACCTCAGCTTGTAATTGTACATTTATCAGAATCATTTGTTTAGAGTTCATTTCCTTCACTAGGCAGAGAGCCTCAGGAGGACACGACTTGTCTGTTTTGCTCACTGTTGAATCCCTGGAGCCTGGCACCATGCTAAGAGGATAGTAGATGTTCAATAAATGAATGATCGATGGATGAATGAATGGATAAAATGTGATTTTGTCATTCTCTGACTCTTGGTTTTCATAAACTCAGTGATGCCTGGGCACAATTTAGGAACCTTAAATAATCAAGGCAATTGGAAAAAAATATATTAATATGCTTTTCATTTTTGTCTTTCTGAGTAGGTGACTCGCTTCCTGGTTGACCCAGAGCATCCATGCACCTGGCGCAGGAAAGGGGAGTTTTCAACTAAAAATATTACTGAATGGATGGAAAGAGAAATAAAGTGTGCGGCAAGGCTTGCTCTATGGGTGAGCGATGTGTGCAGCACAGGGCCCCCAGAAGTGCTCCAGGCTTGGTCGGTTCAATGCTCTGCTGTTGCTGCCTTGAAACTCTTACTAATTTTGAACACAGAGCCCCATGTTTTCACTTTGCACTGGGCCCCACAAATTATGCAGTAAGTCTTTATGTTCACGTACAGCTTTTGACATTCAAAAACTGGAATTTTGCTGTCAATTCCACCCAAAGCAATCTACAAATACAATGCAATACTGATCCAAATACCAACAGTATTCCTTAAAGAAATGGAAAAATAATCATTAACTTTATATGGAAAGGGAAAAGGCCCCATGTAAGTAAAGCACTATTGAAGAAGAAGAAAAAAATAGGAAGACTGGCACTACTCGACCTCAGAACCTACCATACACCTACGGTAGTCAAAGCAACCTGGTAGTGGTACAATGACAGATACACTGGCCAATGGAACAGAATTGAGGACCCAGATGTAAATCCATCCACCTGTGGTCACCTGATCTTCGACAAGGGCTCCAAATCCATCAAATGGGGAAAAGACAGTCTTTTTAACAAATGGTACTGGCAAAACTGGATGTCCATCTGCAAAAAAAATGAAACAGGACCCATACCTCACACCATACACAAAAACTAATTCAAAATAGATCAAAGACCTAAATATAAAACCTAAAACTATAAAGATCACAGAAGAAAAAATAGGATCAATGCTAGAGGCCCTAATACATGGCATTAACAGGCTACAAACCATGACTAATAACACACAATCTCTAGAAGGTAAGCTAGATAACTGGGATCTTCTAAAAATTAAACAATTATGCTCATCAAAAGACTTCACCAAAAGAGTAAAAAGAGAAACTACGGACTGGGAAAAAATTTTTGGCTATGACAAATCTGACAAGGTCTAATCTCTAAAATCTACAGGAAAATCCAACACCTCTTCAACAAAAAGACAAATAATCCAATTAAAAAATGAGCAAAGGACATGAACAGACACCTCATCAAAAAAGACATCCAAGTGTCTAACAGATGCATGAGGAAATGTTTGTGCTCACTAGCCATTAGAGAAATGTAAATCAAAACCACAATGAGATGCTGTCTCACGCCAACATTACTGGCATGAATCAAAAAACAGAAAATAACAAATGTTGGAGAGGCTATGGGGAGACTGGAACTCTTATGCATTGTCATGGGAATGTAAAATGGTACAACCATTTTGGAAAATGATATGGCGCTTCCTTAAAAAGCTAGAAATAGAAATACCACATGATCCAGTAATCCCACTCCTAGGAATATATCCTAGAGAAATAAGAGCTGTCACAGGAATACACATATGCACACCCATGTTCACTGCAGCATTATTTACAACAGCAAAAAGATGGAAATAACCTAGATGCCCATCAACAGATGAATGGATAAACAAACTGTGGTCCATACACACAATGGAGTACTATGCGATGATAACAATGATGAATCCGCGAAGCATCTCACAACAAGGATGAATCTGAAGGGCTTTATGCTGAATGAAATAAGTCCATCACAAAAGGACAAATATTGTATGAGACCACTACTGTAAAAACTCATGAAAACAATCTTTGATGGTTACAAGGGAGGGGAGGGGTGGGGATGGGAAAACACTAAATAGACGATAGATAAGTGGTAACTTTGGTGAAGGGTAAGACAGTACACAGTACTGGGGAAGCCAGCACAACTTGTCCAAGGCAAGATCATGGAAGCTCCGTAGACACATCCAAACCCCTGAAGGACCAAATTACTGGGCGGAGGGCTGTGGGGACCATGGTCTCGGGGAACATCTAGCTCAATTGGCATAACACAGTTTATAAAGAAAATGTTCTACATTCTACCTTGGTGAGTAATGTCTGGGGTCTTAAAAGCTTGTGAGTGGCCATCTAAGATACTCCACTGGTCTCACTCCTTCAGGAGCAAGGGAGAAAGAAGAAAACAAGACACAAGGGAAAGATTAGTCCACAGGACTGCAGGACGGCAACTACCACAGCCTCCACCAAACCGAGTCCAACACAACCAGATGGTGCCTGGCCACCACCTCTGACTCCTCTGACAAGGATCACAACAGAGGGTCCCAGACACAGCTGGAGAAACATGTGGAATGAAATTCTAACTCATAAAAAAAGACCAGACTTACAGGCCTGACGGAGACTGGAGAAACCCCGAGAGTATGGCTCCCGGACACCTTTTTAGCTCAGTAATGAAGTCACTCATGAGGTTCACCCTTCAGCCAAAGACTGGACAGCTTCATAAAACAAAACAAGACTAAAGGGGTACACCAGCCCAGGGGCAAGGACAAGAAGGCAGGAGGAGACAGGAAAGCTGGTAATAGGGAACCCAAGTTCGAGAAGGGGAAAGTGTTGACAAGTGGTGGGGTTGACAACCAATGTCACAAAACAATGTGTACTAATTGTTTAATGAGAAACTAGTTTGTTCTGTAAACTGTCATCTAAAGTACAATTTAAAAAAAAAAACTTCTCTAAAAAAGGAAAAGGATTTTGCTTTATGTAAATATGCTTGCAGACTAAGCTATTGTCTAGCGAGAGGATTCTCTAAATTCCTTTATTCCACCTCCTCCCATCCCACTTCCTTTTCGGAAATCATAACCAAATCTGGTGGACTCTGTTTCTAGAATTCTCCTACAGAGCATTTCTGGACTTTCCAGTGCAGCCATGGCACCAAGCCATGAGGACTTCTTACCATGTGATGGTAGAAGGCTATCCCTTCAGGGACAATGGAAAAGAGAAAAAGGAAATGTGTTAGGTAAGAGAGGGTGTCGTGCATTCCTTGTGTAACTGTCTGGGAAGAGGTCAATTTTCTGGCTGCCATAAGCTAGTTTAGGACATAGAGGCACTAAGATAAAATTGGCGTGATTGAGTAGGAGGCCCCCAGGGCAGGGTCACAATGTAATGCTGCCCGTTTACTCTCCACACAAAGGTCTTAGCTGAGGCAATGGCTGATGACGAGGCGCAGAAAATTCCAGGGTGCAAGTCATGCACCCTGGAAAAGGGCCACGTCAGTGGTTTGATGATAAATGTTTAACAATTGGCCCTGTGGGGAAAGAAACAACATATACACGAACATAAATTTATTATGCATTTTACTGATATAAAGTATGCATAGCACACAATTTACCAATAATAAAATGTACAATACTCTGTTGTAAATTCCACATAGGCAATTGATTCTCACAGAATGCTTTCACTGATTTTTGCAAAACCCTAGTGTCTGTAACTAACCGCTGACTGCAACTGGTGAATGGGTGTAGTTCCCACACGAGTGTTGGGTGATATTTTGCTTTGTGTTCATGAGTAAGAGGAGAGCGAACACCAAGGACGTATGTCGGTTAGATCTTCACTCATTTGTCCATGATGTAAAAGGCTTTGCTGAATCAGATCATAGTTTTCAAATACTGGAAGAATAGATGATTTGTGTGTGTGTGTGTTTGTGTGTGTATGTGTGCTATTAACAACGTAATGGCTACAGACGTCACACATTTGTAAGTTTATTTGGCATTATTAACATTTCCTGTATTTCCTTCATAAGCCTAGACAGTCAACGAAGTAATAAATCAGCCCCTGATTTGTAGCCTTTGCAATTTTCTGTGGTGTAAGTACTCCCACCGTGACTGATCTCAAGCTCCCGAGATGACTTCACTGAATGTGGAGTTGGAAAGGGAAGCTCAGCCAAGACACCATTAGATAGTATTTACACCATCCAGATACGACAAGTGGAAATAACCTCAAAAGCATCAACAATAGTGAAATAATTGTTACTCTTGTTATTGTTTGGCGCCGTCGAGTTGGTTCCGACTCACAGCGACCCCATGTACCACAGAACGAAACACCGCCCGGTCCTGCACCACCCTCACAATGGTTGTTATGCTTGAGCCCATTGTTGCCACCACTGTGTCAATCCATCTCCTTGAGGGTCTTCCTCTTTTTCGCTGACCTTGTAGTTTACCAAGCATGATGTCCTTCTCCAGGGACTGGTCCCTCCTGATAACATGTCCAAAGTATGTGAAACATAGTCTCGCCATCCTTGTTTCTAAGCTGTCTTCTGGTTGTACTTCTTCCAAGACAGATTTGTTCGTTTTTTGGCAGTCCATGGTATATTCAATATTCTTCACCAACACCAAAATTCAAAGGTGTCAGTTCTTCTTCGGTCTTCCTTATTCATTGTCCAGCTTTCGCACGCATATGATGCATTGAAAATACCATGGCTTGG